GAAGAGCAACACACAAAATGCCTTGCACAAAATCGATGCTTAGAAGTACGGATAATCCTTGATTTAGGAACACAACAGAGCCTGACATTTTCATTGCTAAGCAAAGCAGTTAAATGAATTGTGACCCACTTTATGACGGGTTGGGTTTTTTGGCCATGGTTGTTAAGCAAGACACAGCAGTTGTTAAGTGAATCACACAGTCATGAATGTTAATGTGGTGAGAAAGATTATAAAACGGAACCAAACTCCCTTAACCACTGTCTCGTTCAGCAACAGAAATTTTTGGGTTTATGTGACATAAGTACCGTAGGTACCGTAAATACCATATTTTTCGGAGTATAAGACACACCTTTTTACCTCAAAAAAGAGGGTGAAAATCTGGGTGCATCTTATACACTGAATACAGCATTTTTGGCCTACCGAAACCCCACCCCCTTTGCAAAAATGGACGTGCAGAGGGTTTGGGAGGCTTGCAACGTGCTCCTGGGGGTTGGGGAGGGCAAAAGCGAGCAAAAAACAGGCTGTTTTTGCTCATTTTTGCCCCCACCAGTCCCCAGAAGCACTCTACAAGCCTCCCAAAGCCTCTGCTGCAACCCCTTTTTTTTGCAAAAAATGGCCCATTTTTGTGAAAAAAAGGTCATTTTTTGCTCGTTTTTGCCCCCCCCCAGCCCCCAGGAGCACTCTACAAGCCTCCCAAAACTCTGCGTGCCTTTTTTCTTCTTCAAAAAAAATGAGGTGTGAAGAGGGTTTGGGAGGCTTGCAGAGTGCAAAAACTTTTAAAAAAAATTTACCTCTTCAAAATCATGGTGCATCTTATACTCCAGTGCGTCTTATTGTCTGAAAAATATGGTAAGTCGAAGTATGCTATTGCTATCATGTGGATGCTGCAAAGGTTGTAACTAAGAAAAATGGTTATGTCACATTTTTCAGTGTAACTTTGAACGGTAACTGGGCAAACTGTTGTATGTCGAGAACTACCTGCATTTAAGAGGCACAATTATGCTTACTGAGGTTCATATCGTTTTTCCCTGCTCGATAAATTCTGCCCCTCCCTCCTCAACCTTCAGTCCCCAGATGACTCCTGTTCCGAGTTCTCCATCACTTTACCTTCAGGAAGGAAGAGCTTTGTGTGGAGAAGATCCTCGGGTAGAGGCACTTCTTCAGATGGAGGAGGATTCAACTCCTCGCCTTCAGTCAAGTCTCGCTCCATGGAGTTCTTCTCACACATCACTAAAGTGCTGAAGGCCCGATTGGCTGCATCTGAAGAAACCTGGAGGAGGGAGAGGACCGGTCACAAAGTTATTTCTTCATCACCATTGTAACAATGAACGGTCGCTAAATGAAGTAATTTCTAAATCAGCACTCCTTTTAGTAGGCCTGGCCAGAGGAGAATCTTACTAAATAAGTTCATCCATTAGGTGTCAGGGTTCCAAATAGCATCCAAAATTAAATCAGAGTCCAAGGCGAAGTATTGCTCAAAGTTCCAATTTATTAAGAAAGCCATGTTGGCACATCTGGGAAAACCCGAATCTGAAAGCTTCCCAGTTTTCCACACCCAGTGTAAAGTTCAAGATCTTGTCCCCATATCCACAAGTCCCTCACATGGTCCAATCTCCCACTGCCATGCCAGTCCGGTCCACTGCCAGTTCCAGTCAGGTGCAGAAGTGCAGAGACAAAGGATGACCTTGGCTTTCTAGAAAGAATTTTGTTTTGGCTACATAACATCTAACTCCGTACAATTTTCCCTCCCATTTTCCCACAGTAGAAAATGCATAGTAGACTAATAGAAAGAGTGGCAGGCCAAAGATCCAAAAGGAATAAGGCTGCAGGCCTGACATTAGGCCTATTTTTTTTAATAAAAAAAACTATACAGATACAAAGAGCACACACAGACAGACAGGTTAGGTAGCTGTTTCTCCAGTATACCGACTGGGACTTGAAGTCCACATACAGTATGCTAAAATGGCCAAAGTTAAGAAATACTGGGTTAGAGGGCTGAATGAGTTGGGGCTCCTTAGCCTTGTGTGGGATAAATCAAGGGTTGAGTATCTATGGCCTCTTTACGACTTACAGACTTCGACTCCCAGAATTCTTCAGCCAGCATGGCCCGGCTCAGGAATTCTGGGAGTTGAAGTCCGCAGGTCACAAAAGGGTTATTATAGCTGCCCAACCCTGGGCTAAATCGTTCCCATTCCATTTGTAAAGTGCCAGCCTGGAGCAGTGTGGAAATGGTGGGACCTACCTGCAAGATGACTCCCAGGGCGTTCTTGTGCTCTTGGTTGTTCACCACAATCACTCGCCCCACAGAAAGGGCTTTCAATCCGTTCATCGATTCCATGACGCGCCTCTGGAAGGGAGAAACCCACAAAGGAGAGAATATTTGTAGCTCAGGGCTGAGATGAAGGGTCCCTTGGTGCTCTCTGAGCTTGCTTGCTTCATTGTTTTAACGTTTTTAGGTAATGAAACGTCTTCCAGTCAGTACCTGAACGCACTCCCGTATCTCTCGCAGTTCTCGGACGACAGAATAATACTCCTGTAAGTCGCCGAGCTGCCTTGAGGTGTCTGGCATTTCCATCTTGGCTAACATACTGCTCAGCTGGCCGATTCTGTGTTCATAGACCTGGCGAGGAAACGCAGAAGATGGAGCGAAGCCGTGTAGCGCCCGACTCCTTGCCTTTCCCTTTCCATCCAACCATTTAACACAAGGAAGCCAAGTTCACAAAACATGCTAGGTTACATCGAGTTTGGCTCCGAGTGTTGTGTGAACACAGCTGAAACGTGGATTCAGCATGCTACATGCCCCCCCAGTCCAATGGTTTAATGCACTTAGTACACCAGGTGATTGCAGCCACCATAGAAGGAAATATTTTGCAGTCTTCAATCTGATCTGGAAGAGCAACTGATATCCACACAGCAAATTCAGAATTTGGTCCTTGATACCAAACGAGGACACGTCCTTACTACATCTTTGGAAAACCGCTGCTAGCTGGAGGGACTCAATCGTCTACAGCAGTTTAGGTGCCATCTTTTTGACAGGGGGAGTGTGTGTGTGTGTGTGTGTGTGTGTCCAAACTTGGCAACATTTTAAGATGTGTGGACTTCAACTCCCAGAATTCCCCAGCCAGCAGGGAGATATTCTGGGAGTTGAAGTCCACAAATCTTAAAAGTTGCCAGTTTACAGGCCCCTGTTCTTGACTTTAGAGATAGACTTCCGTCCTTTTCTCCGTGTCATATAATAGATGTAGGTACATGCAAAATTTTGTATGTATGTATGTATTTATTTAGTCATGCTTATGTTCATATTAGAGGCGGATAACCCTTTGAGAGCTGTATGCAATGTAATTTCATTTTAATGTATGCCGATTCATGTACATTCAAAGGGACAATAAAGTTATTCTATTCTATTTTATTCTATTCTGAATTCTATTCTAATTATTCTACTAGAATTCTACTGAATTCTAACTATACTATTCTGTCTTGTTCTGTTCCATTCCATTCAACAGATTTATACAGTTTTTCCTTCTCTGCTCCCTGTATTGTCTTCCTTACTCATCCTCCATTTTCTTCCAGGTGCCCTTCGGTCTTAAAAATGAGAGATTCCTTCCAACATGCACTTCTTTTCCATTATCCTCCCTCCACCTCAAACTGTTGTGTCTCAGAAAAGTTTAGGATGCTTCTCTGGATTCCTCTCAAGCACCTTTCCAGGAGCTATTTCAATTTCCCCCCTGCCCTCCCCAATCCATCACACCTTGCTGTCTTTCCGGGTGTGAAACTCGGAGAAGCTTCTCCTCATCATGTCTTCCACGCGGAGTGCCTCCACCCTCAACAGGTTTAGGATCATGGTGTATGTCAGGCGGAACTGGGACTGCAACCGAGTAGGTTTGCCCTAAAAGGAAACAGAAAGGTGGTACAATTGGCAGCAGTCACATGGCGATCTCTTTGACAACCACCACAACTTACGACTGTGGTTCTGGGTCCAATGATGGTTGTAAGTCAAGGATTCCCTGGAATGTCCAAACTGAAGTAGCAAACATCAGATGTTTGGACCCAGAAGGGCGTGGCTGTTCTTTGTCCTTAATGAGGTTCCAATAAACTTTTGGTCAACTCTTCAAAGCATTCCTGGCCTGCTTTCAAGTTGCCATAAGCAGGAAGGAGAACTGACAGAGCTGCTCGGCTTCCTCGACCTAAAGTACATTCCACACATGCCTTTCTCTAGATTGTATCCTTGATTACCGGAGCAAGCAGGTGAGGGTGTGGATTCTGCAGCCCGCGAACCATTGGAGAATATGATTTATGACACACCCAGGGAGGAGGGGTAGGGAAATAGGATCATAGGGGGCCATAAATTACGTGAGGGTAGAGCTCGGGTATTGCCAAAATGTTGCTCCTAATAAATGACTGGATTTCTTTTGAAACTTGGCTCGAGCCTCATGAATTAACTAGGGCATCCTTCAGAAACCTGACACTTTTATCCTCAGCCGGAAGGAGGATATTTATCACTGGCTATAATTTCAACCCAAATAAACAAAATTAAATTCAATGTAGAGAAAAAGTAAAGTCTTACACTTAGGCAAGAAAAGTACACATACAGATTGGGAGAAACCATGTTTAATAGCAGTGACTGTGAGAGGGATCTTGGAGTTTTTGGTGCACAACCAGCTAAATATGAGCCAGCAGTGTGTGGTGGCAGCCAAAAAAGCCAATGCAATCCTAAATTGCATTAACAGAGGGATTCAATCAAGATCATGTGAGGTACTAATACCACTCTATAAAGCCTTAGTAAGACCACACCTAGAATATTGCATCCAGTTTTGGTCACCACACTATAAAAAAGATGTTAAGACTCTAGAAAAAATGCAGAGAAGAGCAACCAGGATGATTAGGGGACTGGAGACTAAAACATACAATGAACTGTTGCAGAAACTGGGCATGGCTAATCTAGCGAAGAGAAGGACCAGGGGAGATATGAGAGCAGTGTTCCAATATTTGAAGGGCTGCCACAGAGAGAAGGGGGACAACCTATTTTCC